CCCTCGTGTAGCTTTGCGCGAAATTAAAAAAAACAAAAACAAACGATAATTTTTTTTTAATTTAAAATTTGATTTAATACACACTATAACAGTAATTTCTGCCTGTCTTAGTCAGGGGATGCCACTAGGCCTGCCACACGGACTTATTTACATGTGCCGCAAGAAGTTTGGGACATTAAAAGTGTGCAGCGAATTGAAAACGTTAAAAGCATGGGTACATTTTTTTTGGGCCACTCTGTATATATATAGCTTGTTGTGGTGAAAATCTTACAATTATGTCTTAAGTTAACAGAATTCTCTTGTTATTTATTGAGTGTTATAGGATTAAATTTGATATATATCAATACATTTCGAATTGTAGCAACTTGTAACAACGGATATTATAGTATCTATATATAAAATATATTAAAGTATAAATAATTAAAATATAATTAGAACTTACGAAACGACGTCAGATCTTTTTTGTCTTCTTGTTTAATGTATTCGAAATTACGAATATTAATACAATATATTGTCAGATGACGTAAGAAATAGTCCATGAATAATAGCTCAAAATCTTTTTTCACAAGATTTATAACAGTCTCCAAGAAATTAAATTTAAAACCGTAATTTTTGTTTAGTTAGCTTTTTTATGAAAAAGCTGTTTATAGCCACATGCAGCCAGATGGCGTTGTCTCGCTGGTTGTTCCAATTCAGGTTATATACTCTGTCCTTTTGATATATTAATTTTATTACTTTAATCGTATTCTTTGTTGCTACATTTTTATCATAGGGATTGGTTTACATTGTTAGCTTATTAATTTAATTAGGACTAACCTAAATCTCCAAAGCAGGCCGAACCTCGTGAGTTATTGTTGGGATTACAGCTGAAAATATTGTTAACAGCTAGGGTACCAAACTGAGAGACAGTGTATTATAATCTTTATAAGTAGGAAAGCAAGAAAGCTGTATTTAATTAGCTATAGATGTTGCCAGGTTGATTTTTTTAGTTTCGCCCTGAGCGGAAGCCAATATTAATTATAAAAGCACATTGAGTGAGTAGTGTCATTACAAGAACTGCGGTGTTTAATGCTGAAATAGTCACGAAGTAAAACGGTGACATTATTAATATTCTTTTATATCTGTTTATGTAACTTTACCCATAACTATTCATTTTTCTGGCTGGCCCTCTGGCCATCGAAAGTATAAACCAGGTTTTCGCGTTGACGCTACTGTTCCTCTTAAAATCTGTCATCTCTATTTAAGTCTGAACTTTGCAACCTTACTTAAATATTTGTTTAAGTCCCCGGGACAGATGGTCATCACACGCTCGTGCGGTCACTTAGCATAGTTGGTATTCTGGTCAAACTTGTCAGATAATTGGCTTCAGTTCCTGTGAGATAAGCGGGAAGGCGTCTTCCCCGAGGGCTAACTCGCCCTGGCTTGTCGGAAATTGATTTCTTTGCAGCTGCGACACCAAACTTGTCGGTGATCAGCCTCCTGCAGCTTGCCAGGCCACCTTAACTACTCCATGAATTTTTCATCACAGCCACACGAACGTCCAGAACGGATGTCATAGCCTTTGTAATGTGTTGTTTGCCCGTCAATTTCACGGAAACTTCGTATATTGCGTTATACACAGAACGATATATCCAATATACATTTTTATATACAAATCAAGAAGTGTGCTCGGCCTTTTGTCCAACAGCATTCACTACAACTCCAGATTGTACTAGTGAAACGGAGAGGCCATATACTAAAGAAAATTGTTACTTAGAAAAACATTAAACTTACACAAAGCGTATGGGATTTGAATTATTATAAAACTGTAATCCATGAACTTCGTTAGATCGTGGGTCAGACGTTCTGTAATTAAACATATTGTCTGATAAACCGTAAGGTTAGATCATAGAACTCCGACGTCGAAAAATTAAACGTATAAGTAGATAAATATAAATATTCTAATAACACCAACCACGTGCTAGGATTTTTTTTAGCACGCTTTGATAACTTATGTAATCCTAAGAACTTATAAGTGAAAGTAAATATATGTTATATACAGTGCCGACGAGGCCATTAGTCCAATACCAGTGTTCATCAGGCCTGTTGGGATACATTGGGTACTGTGATGCGTCCAATGAGAAATTTGGACGTAGTTTTTATAGAAATGTAACTTTTCGTATTAAAATATTTTGCTTCAGGGTTAGGATTAACGAGTTACAATTACATTATCAACAAGTCTGTATATACGTAGCTAAAATAACATGTCACTGGTGTTTACAAACAGTTCTATTAGAAAGCAACTCACAAATCAACGACAGCTGACCGACTGTTCTATTTCATGCATCCCTCCGTCATTATTGATTTTTTTCCCGCTTCTTGACGCGTCAGTTGAAGATCTCTGGATTATCTAGAATAATTAGAAATTAACGACTCATCACGACAAACAACCTCTGCTGTGTGAGGGTCAGTAATTAAGAGTTCTCTTGAAGTACACAAGTGGTGTGTGGCGTCATCTAGTGACGTTCGTGTTTAATAGAACAATCCAATAAAAACAGCAAGCTATTATTGATAAAATCATATATGATAGAACAAACAATACAGTAACATAAAATCAGAAGTGTTTTTTTTTAGAAATCATAAACACGTCTTTATATCTAAGATACAAGTTATTTTAGGGCCTTCGAGGAACCTTTTATTTCTATTGATGAATATTGTACATAGCCAATAATGTAGTCAGAATATTGTACATAGCCAGTAATGTAGTCAGGGTGAAGTACGTAGTCAGAGTGATGTACATAGCTAATGATATAATCAGTATAATCTTTAAAAAATTGTTTTTGGTAGGATAAACCAGTGGAATTTGAATCAGACTCGGATATCGAAGACTTCCGCCATGTCTTAGAAGAAAGTCAAAAAGCTTTGCAGTTTTCAGTTAAACAGTTTCACAGTTTTAAATCACGTGACTGTGGTTCTATCAGCCATTCTGAATATGTAAGTTTGAAATTTGTTGTTAAAAGATGTAATATAGATGTAAGTTCTCAGTTTGTAAATAAGCAAAACTTGAGCATTAAGTCGTCAAAATCTAAGTTATAATATCAGATAAAAAAAAAATTCAATTTGTATCGGAAGATACAGTGTTGTAGTGTCATGAAAGACAAAATGGAAAATCAAACTCTTCTATGTTCATTAAAAAAGTTAAACAACAACAGATACTAAGCAAACTAATTAGTGCCTTTTTCTCTGCAAACACAGACAAAAAAATTTATGTATCAATTGCAGAAGTAACGTAATAAAAACCCAAGCCCTTACTTTCTGTTTTTGTTGTTGTTTAATTTAAGAGTGCAATATTAAGTCTACATGCTTCTAAAGGAATAGGAGAAATTTTATTTTTTAACTGTTCTAAAGTAACGGAATACTTATTGTGGGAATGATAGACAACGGGGTTCAATTCAACATAGTAAAGATAATATTTAGAATTTTTGCTTTTCTTTAACAATTATTTTTCACACTCGTGAACTGTTTTAGAGTTTGTTTTTGTACATAGATGAAACTAACTAGTATCACACACTTGAGTACGTAACACGTTAGTAAGCGGCTTTATTTTTCTATTGGATAAATGACTCAATATTACTTTCTACGTGTTGGATACTCCTGACATCTAGTGTTTAAAATGTAATCTATAGCTGACGAAAACGCTAGGTGTCGCCACTTAACTGTATGTTTTCTTTTTGTGGGTAATGAAACCATGTCGCGTATCGTGGCTGTTAAAGTGTGAATAGTAAAACTTAGTATTTCGTTTTCTGTGAAATTTAATGAATATTGGAAGCCTCTTGCCAATGTCATATCACATAGTCTTTGTACTACTTCATTTTCGGCAACCCACGGGTGAGTGATTTGTCATTGAAAGTGTGATACGATTTTTCAGCCTCTGCATTCAATAGGCACAGGATTAACCTTGATCAAATCTTTCATAGCAAGGCCAAGTATACTTCCGTAATCGATAGTTTTTTATTGTATTAATTGGTAGTCGTTTTTACCTTCAAAGAACAAGAAATAATCCTACTTAACCTTTTAGAAAATAGAAGAAAAAACCTGACTGTTATGATCATTACAGAGAATAACTTTAATACACATTCTCAAAAATGTGTATCGAGTTTCATGTTTTATTCACATAACCCAGTATTCTCTGTAATATAATTAAATTTGAAGTTTTCCTTAAATAATGTTGATGAACTTAAAAAAACTTCTCATTTGTTATCGTAAAATGATTTATTATAAAGTTGTGTAATTTGAACAATGTTTTATACAATTGCTTTTTTTATTCTCAGTAATATTTTAACAGGTGTTTGAAATATAGCATCAAATACGATATTATTTTGAAAAGAATTTTTAATGATGCTTGAATGTTTTAAAAGTTGTCTGGTAAACAACTATTAAATAATGGCTAGACCACTACTATATCGGACGTATCCCAGCTGGCCTGATAAGCCCTGGAATTAGGCAACAGGCCTCGTTGGTACTGGATATGGCAGATGTAATAAGCTTGACATATAACATATTCTTCTTTACTATCACTCATTAATTCATCACTCTGACTATATTATTGACTGTGTACAGTACATCACTCTGACTATATCATTAACTGTGTACACTACATCACCCTGACTATATTATTGGCTACGTACAGTACATCACTCTGACTATATTATTGACTGTGTACAGTACATCAAGAGTGATGTACTGTACGTAGCCAATAATATAGTCAGAGTGATGTACTGTACATAGCCAATAATATAGTCAGAGTGATGTACTGTACGTAGCCAATAAAATAGTCAGAATGATGTACTGTACGTAGCCAATAATATAGTCAGAGGACTATATTATTGGCTACGTACAGTGCATTATTTATCCAAATATTTTTTAGTTTTCTTTTTAAAATTCTGTAACCATACTTTTTTCATTCATGCAGCATTTCTTAGTTCATTAGATACAACTATATAACTTATTTTTTTACTCAGGGAGTTTTATCCAAGGCCCACAACCCAAATCTACTTTTGTGCGAGCCTCCAGGGAAAAAGTATTCACAGGACAAAAGAACTTGGTATATCTTTTGCAATTCTGAAAACGTAATGGATTCATCAAGCCTTTCTCAACAGCATACAAAGGAACCATATGCTGAAGTACCCACAAGGCAGACTTGCAACATTCAGACTTATAGCGTAACCACTAATGATAAAAGTGTGATGGTTGGAGAAACTGGAATTGCTGAGCTGAAAGCTGAATGTGGGAGCAATGTAGGACCATATGAGATAGTCCAAGATGTAGGCTATTCTAGTGAGAGCTCTGTACATTTTTCATATGATGAAAATATGAAAACATTTACGCCAGTGTCAAGATTTTCCACAGAGTTACCTGAATTAAATGCTGTTGCTAGTGAGAGCTTATTAGTTTATGACAGCAATAATGGCTTGAGTGTGCTTTCTGGAGACCCCCAAGAACAGGTATACAACACATCTTCTTCTCAGGGAAAAGGTATGAATGAATCCATTATTAAATATACAACCAAAGGTACTCAAATGGAATTATGCAGTAATGTAAATTGTACAAGTAATAACCTTCTTATTCAAGGGAAAGAAGACAGGAGAGCAGATGCCATTCTTCAGACAAACAATGAGGTCGATATTTATAGAAAAAACAAAAGCATTCAAGGTTTGGACATAAACAGGTACTCTGCTGTTTTAGCTGGGAATTCTCTTGATGCACTTGACTTTTCACATTTGACAAACTCGAATGATGAAGTTAAAGATGTCTCGGTAATCTCTGAAGGCATACAGGAAGAAGTTTCAATAAAAGACCAAAATGCTGAAGTAGCAAACAAACTTTCATCAACTTCTGTCATTGGTGGCTGTAAGACAAGTAGGATTCAGCAGTGGTTAGAAGATTGTGACCCAGAGGAAAATGGTAGTTCTGCTTCTGATACTCCAAGCATAAGATTAACTGAGGATGATGCTGGGTTTGGTGTAGACAGCTCCTGTGATGCTAGTGGAGAAAACACTTCAAATGACACAGAAAGTGAGACTAGTGCCGATGAAAGAAATGCTAGCTCAGTATTAAATAAGTCTATTGCTGGTTCGGTAGAGACAGTAGTGCCTTTTTCAGTGGTGGATGAACCTTTAAACCACAAGAAGCGCACAAGTAGTATGGAACTGTTTCCAAGAGCCATGAGACGAAGGAAACGCACCTCCCGAGATCGACCATGGAGTGTAACAGAATTAAATCAACTGCCTGGACAGTGGGGATTTTCCCCTTATACAGCAAAAACCATATCTGAAGGAGCACTAGACACCCTCTCATTGTCTCCTTTTGTACATCATAAATTAAAGTTTACAAGGTATGTTAATTTACTTTCTGGTAAAGCTATCAAACTGATATGATGTTTTAAGGAATAAAGGAATTTTCTGAAAAAACATCTGTATGTTTATATAGTGCTCGTAGTTTTGTAAATATTGTAGATCCACTAATGTTTTATCAAGCACCTTTTGTAACTCTGAAAAATACATCAATGTCTTGTTAAAGATTAATCTTCTTTCTTCATAAACACTTTTAATAACAATTCTTTGGCTGAAAATATATTTTGAAATCTTATTTCTTTTCCTCTAGGGGCTCACATTCATTGAAAAACTCTCCTATCCAGGAGTCTAAATCGTTTTTACCTCAAACAGGTCGATGTCGATATAGAAGCCAGAGCAGTGTTTGCTGCTCAGTAAACCAGTCTGATTCTAGTTCTGAAGGTTTCTCATTGTGTTCTCAACACTCAACCAGACTAAACCAGAGTTTTGGTGGTGCTACAAATGCAACGAGGAGAAAGCGGTCTCTTGTCTTTTCAGACAAGTCAAGAAGTCGAAGAGGAAGCCTTGTAAACTTTCACACTAATCAGCAAGCAACCCAAGTATTTATTCCTACAAGCGATAAAGGTGGAAGTGATGGGGACAGTTTACACAGAAAACACGTGAGCAGTATTGAAAATGAAAAGGTATAGTAATAGTAAAAAGTTTTTTATTTACAAAACTTGCTTTTTTTCATAATTCATTTTAGTATGCTGTATTTTTAGTGAATATTTTCCCCAAGTAAGGAAAAACTGCCCTTACAATACACGTATCATTTTATACTTGCATCATTCTGGTATTCAGTTTCTTCAAGTGACTAAATTTTCCCCCAGTTTTCTCAGATAGACACTCACTTTGAAGGTAATACATTGTAGCTGGGTGATTCTCTGAGAGTTTAAGTAACTTTGTGAAAAGAAAACTTGCACAAGAAAGAAAATTTTAATTTTATGAGAGAAGACCTAACAATGCAGAAAAGTGGAGGCATTCAGATCAGATGATTAATGTGTCTGAAAGCTTAGGCATTTGTAACAATTCTTTGTCACATAAGGTATGTTACAGAAACCTTTTTTGTTTGTTTCTCTTTGTCATAAACAGTATTTTATGATAAGTTTTAATATAATAAAGCCATTCTTGTGTTCTCATAGTGTAACTTAGACTACCAGGTTAAAGTTGGACAACTATTTACTGACTATTTGATTACTCATACACAAATCTGAACTTGTTTAAATGGAAGAATGATTTGATATTTTTGTTAGTAAAACAAATACTGATCATCTGATTTAGCACATTGTTATCACTCCCTGCCTTATATTTTGCTTCTGTCATAAAATTCTATTTGGCATGCATTCAGAAATACTGAAAATTCACAGAAATTCTTTAATATTGATTCTGTTACTTGTGACTATACATATTTAGTGTTTACAGGATTTTTTTTACAGTTACGTTTATTGGTCATTGTACATTGAGAGGTGAGTGAATAATTGTTATTATAATTCCTTAGTGGACTAAGCTATAACTTCTCATAAATATTTTGAAACTTTTGGAACTGAAACTATGAATGAAAAAATTATACCAATACTTTTTTTTCCAGCAATCTTACTGTTTCATTGCTGATAAATTATAAGTTTGTTTATAGTACTAACAGGTTTTTATGTTAAAATACAGTTTGATGTTTACCCCAACCAAAGTGATTGCGAAACTGAGGCATCACTTCCAGGAACACAACATTTGGAGAGTGTTCTGGATAATGAACATACACAAGCACATACAGATCAAGGTTCTCAGTCAGATCAAGTCTGGGATCATTATCAGGTAAAATAGTTTCTTTTAAGAGATGAGTAGGAGAACAAATTAAAAAGGTTTTTGTATTTATGTCAGTTATGTTTGGACTAACACAAAAATGTGATTAAAGTTATGGTAAGGAAAAATATATGGTGAACATTTTGACCAAGCAACCTTGATTGTGTCTAGATGAGGGCCATTTAACTGAAGTATTAAACTTGTGTTTTTCTTACAGTTGTTTTAATCATTTCTTTGTATTTTCAGATTTTATTTCGCAGCTTGTGATTAGTGTTATAATTTCAAACTTGAAATGTCTTTTGAGTTTATTAAATATGAGAATATTTAGAATTGGTACACATGTTTGAATGTTTATAGCACATTTAGGATGTAAAGACTATGATCATTTATTAGTCATGTTCTTGATAAAATAAACAGTTTTTTGTAGATATTTTAGTAATACTGTTTGAATAGTTCTTACACATTTTAGTCATGCTTGGAGTCTCAGTTAAGTTTTAAAACAAAATTTATTGTTTTTTTATAAAAACACTATGCTAGGATTTTATAATGTCTCATTTGTTTTGTTTGTGTTATCCAGAAATTGGTATGGTATTTCTTGACCTACTTTCAAGCTAGTTGATCTAATCATGAGTTAGCCCTTACACATTTGAACAAAGAAAACAATTATAGGATTTTCACCTGGTGCTAACTAGTTTCAACAACAAATCCTAGGGCTTTAATTGTGTTTTCAGGTGTCATTAGTTGTGTTTAATGTCCTTCAGAACTTAATTTATTTAAAACAAAATTCATAAGGTTTGAGTCACTGGTTTTGATTTAGAAGTGGCTGTAATTGTGTAGTTAGCATAGTCTAATCCATGACGTGCTCTCTTTATCACTAATCTCAGTGATAGAAAATTAAGAAGTCATTACTGGTTTTTTATATTCTATTTTTTGATGAAGGACTTAAGCTTTTGTATCTGCTGTTGTATTAGTGTATTTCTTGATGTTGGTTTATAATAACCAACATGTTTTACTTTTCTTTGTCTTAAATTAATTTGAGGATTTAAATGGTTCTTAGTCATTACTCATTTCCGTTTTGAACTCAAAGCTTCAGAACCTTGAAAAAATTTACAGATATTGTTAACTATGTGTATCCACAAATCTGACCAAGGTTTATTTATAAGCCACAAATAAGATTAAAGTGATTTTTTCTTTAAAAAAAAATATTTCTTCTCTCATATATTACAAGTTCCTTTATTGTTTACCAGTACTTCTATTTGAATTGTAATGGAGGATATGTTGAATGAACTATAGTGATGTTTTTGACTTACATCAAGTATGTACTAAATCATTAGAGGAGTAAAATTCCTTGTCCTTTGTCATGTGTTAGATTAAATCTGGTACTGGCTTGTCATCATAATTTACTGGTAATATTTAAAAAAAAAATGTTTTAAGGATCACTGAAATTACTAATTAAACATTTGCAATCTGCTATCAACAAGGGCCAACTATCATTTCCAGTAATAAGGAATACCTTAGAATAAGGAATGAGAAAACCTTTTATAATACACTTTAAAATATATTATATGTTTATTGATTATTACTAGTACACAATATTCAAAAAATTGTGATCATTATAAAAATACTACAGTTCGGCTGACAATAACAAACATAAAAACAAATTTGTTGTCACCTTTACAAATACATGTATTATATTTAAAAGGTTATACAGAGGGTTGAATATATTATATTAAAATAATTTTGGAGCATTATGATGTCATTACAGTCCTTGTTACCACATCTTGTTCTGCTCTATCTGATGACTGTTCCCCTTAAAAATAGCCCTGCAGCATATTTTCTATTGTTTCTTTTGTAAGGCTGTTGTGTCCAAAACACATCACTCCTCCTTGCAAGCTTTCCATAATTCAGCTAGTGAACGAGGATGATGATTTACTAACACCCATTTCAAGAGTTTGATTGGACAGAAATCCACAGGTGCTGCATCCAATGACTTGAAGGGTATATCTTTGTATGGAATAGCAGGAATACCAGCTGCTTGAGGTATTGGAATGTTGAAAGAGCAGTATTATTGGAAGCCTTATCTTGGTGAACACATACCATGTTGGCCCCATTTATAGAGTGTTGCATACTGTTGCCTGGGGCATGTGGATGGTTTTTGCCATTAATATTTGTGTTTGTGGATTCTCATTTGTTAAAAAACACCACAATTTATTTATCATGTCTGGAGTACGACATGTTGCAAGATCTCTTTTTGGATGGACATGATGCCCCAAGTTGATCAAGATTTCATTTTTTTCCAATGCTATTAAATGCAGGGGATATCTCTGTCTTGGGAATTCTAAATAAATCATTATAATCTGAATGTATTAATATGTATTATCAGAAAGGGCTATTACATATCCTTCCCAAAAAACAGTCAGTTTCCTGTGGTATCACACTACCTATGAAATGCCAGTTAATGTCAAAATGTATTTCTGATAATATGCTATTTTTACCATGGTCATATATCTGTTTTGTTTGTCACACGACTCTCAATTTTCCATATTCAATTTTTTTTTTAATATAACGTTCTCTAACCTATCTTCATTGGAATTAATTGTAGAAGGCTTAGAGGAATTGGTCATAATAGAACATATCTAAAAAAAATTTCTTTGTACAGATTAAAATGAAAGAAAACAGTCTAGTATGCAGGATTTTTTCTATAAATATGTTTGTATAATGACTGTCTAACATTAAGTATCATCACTTCTATACAAATTTTAAATATTTATTTATAGTTAATTTTCATACACAGTTCTCACATACTCTTTTAAAGCATTCAAATATGTTTGGTTGACACACAACTGCAATAAAGTAAAACATGACAAACTTCCATTTCTGTCAAAATCTGTTCTTATTAAAACAAGTCTAGATCGAATGCACATTATAGCTAGATTCTTACTATACAGTGTCACTGAAAAGATTTGACTTATGTTAAAACTCTTACTGAAAGTATATAAATACAGATATGAAAAACAATTATAATATCATTGAAAAATAAGTAACTCAGAGCTCAGTAAAAATATAAGAGAAAAAAAACTAGCTTTTAATGCAGCAGTTTTTTCAAGAGAAAAAAAAGAATGATTGAGAGAGGTCTCCTCAGTTTAAAAGAGGTTTACTAGAATTTTAATATTTTTCTTACATACAATTTTAGAGAAGTTAGTTAACAGTGCCACGAGTTTAATCTAGTTGTGCAACCATGGAATCTTTATACATAACTTGTATATTACCACATAATCAGTCAATGATTGCATAATCAAAGTCTGTTGACCAGACAATACGATTAATAGCCTTTTGAAAAAACTTCTAAAATTGTTGTTGTTATTTCATACAATATAAAATGATTAAATTGCTGATGATGGTGGAATTGCATTTATTTTTTCGAACATCCTTTTTAATGCTATTTTTAAGCCATTTTTTCTTTAATTTTGCTACATAATCAGTGCATAATTTCTATTCTTTTTCTATAAAATTAACAGTTTTATGGTACATAATTTCAATTTTTGGCCCCATAATTATTACTTTGTTACCGCATACAATCAAGGCCTTGAGTTATATAATATCAACACAGTAAGATGGACTAGCATGAGACACATTTTAGGTAAATACTAAAGAAACTATAAAATCTTTATTACAGGATTTGCCATACTTGAGTGAACCTGTGTCAGAATTTACAGCTGATGAAGATGAAGTGAAAAAACTTCTTGAATTTGGTGATGATTATAGGGCATTTTTTGGCAGCCAATCAGATGCTTCCTCCATCAGTAGTTGTGTACAAAGTTTTTCACAAAAATTCTCTTCTGAACCTTCATCAATATGGTCTCAGGTAAATAACTTTAAGCTACTTACTCAGTTCCTAATGAAAGATGAATTATTAACTTTGTAGTTTTATTAATAGCTTATGTTCTTCTCACTAAAATTCACTTTGGAAGCACTGTGGTTGTGATGTTAACTTAAATGTTTGGTTAGCTAATGCAGTTAATTACCAAAATGGTTTTGCTGATCCTTTAAATATAGCCTCATGTTCATTTATTTTTCATCAGACTTACTTCATGGATGATCCATTTATCATTTCAATCTGATGTTGTTTAAAGTTTCCCAAACTCATGTCAGAATGGCAAAGTATGGTATGTGTGAGCTGATGGGAGCCTAAAGTTGTTTTATTGAAAATACTCTAAGCATCAACTCTTCTCTATTCCGTTTTGATCATGCCACTCATGTGTGAAAGAAACTTGTGCTATTAATATATATAGGTATTTAGTGATAGGGAACATTGTGTGAGTTAAGGACAATGGCTCTTTGTTATAATAGTTGTTCACAACAGCTCTGTTATAAGAGTTGTTCACAACAGCTCTATTATAAGAGTTGTTCACAACAGCTCTATTATAAGAGTTGTTCACAACGGCTCTATTAGGAGGAGTTATTCACAACGACTCTTTGTTATAAGAGTTGTTCACAACGACTCTTTGTTATAAGAGTTGTTCACAACGGCTCTATTATAAGAGTTGTTCACAACGGCTCTATTATAAGAGTTGTTCACAATGGTTTTTTATTATAAGAGTTATTCACAACGGCTCTATTATAAGAGTTGTTCACAACGGCTCTATTATAAGAGTTGTTCACAATGGTTTTTTATTATAAGAGTTGTTCACAACGACTCTTTATTATAAGAGTTGTTCACAACGACTCTTTATTATAAGAGTTGTTCACAACGACTCTTTATTATAAGAATTGTTCACAACGACTCTTTATTATAAGAGTTATTCACAACGACTCTTTATTACAAGAGTTATTCACAACGACTCTTTATTACAAGAGTTGTTCCCGACGATTCATTATTACAAGAGTTGTTCCCGACGGTTCATTATTACAAGAGTTGTTCCCGACGATTCATTATTACAAGAGTTGTTCCCAACAGTTCATTATTACAAGAGTTGTTCCCAACAGTTCATTATTATAAGAGTTGTTCACAATGGCTCTTTATTATATGAGTTGTTCACAATGAGCTCTTTATCTAGCTTGAATGTTGTAGCATTAAAAGATGAAGGAATTTTACATTGTATACCTTTAATTTCAAGATTTCCAAAACCATGTTCAAAGTTGTAGTAAAAAACCTACTGCTATTTAAAAGGTGTTTGTTTTCAGACATTAGTCAGTTAAGTATTTCATGGTCTACTGGTCAGAATAGGATAAAACTATACATTTCAACTTCCATTTTCCTTTGTTGTTTAAATGTGGAGCATCTTGTAAATTTTCATTTTAACTAAAATCCACATTTTCTCATTCACAATGCCTTAATTAACAATAAACATCTACTTTACTACTGTAGCCATATTGACAATAAAATAGTCAGAATGATGTACTGTACGTAGCCAATAATATAGTCAGAGTGATGTACTGTACGTAGCCAATAATATAGTCAGAGTGATGTACTGTACGTAGCCAATAATATAGTCAGAGTGATGTACTTTAAATCTTCTTCACACAATTTATGAACAGTGACTTTAAAGAATGTATTTCATAAAAGTTTCATACCTATCTTAACGCTTTCATTACATATGGTTGCAAACTCTTTTCCTTACGGGTAATGTTCACACTACTACTACTACTACTACCAATAGTGTTTTATTTACTTTATCTTCTGGACAGATACACATGAAGTCATTAACCTACATATTCAAGTTCACTGATTTCTACTTAAAAATACATGTATTACAATTGTTCAGGCTCAAAAAACTGTGTCAAAAACTCACCAATATTGAAACAACAAAAATACAAAAAAAACTTGAGCTCTTTCTAGAAAATTACAAGAGAGAACACATATTATCATTAACTGACTGATTTACATCACAAAAGGATTTGTTCCACTTGAGATACTGAGATATATTAGTCCTTCCTACCTCCACTAAAATAGAAAGGTTATCTGTTTTTAAACAAGTAATGACATGTATAGTAATGTTTAAATTCATGGTTCACAAGGGATTTCATATAATGATCAATGCCTTCAACCTATTTTTTTGTAAAATTTTCCTTTTTCCTGTTGTAGAGGATTTGTAAGCAGAATAAACATCTGTGTTATAGTGCAGTGTTTCTCAACCTTTTTTTTTGCTTGTGGTTCCCTTTTCAGTCTGATTTATCTCTGTGGCTCCACCCTTCATAGATGCTGTTACTTAGGAAA